TTTCAGGTATATACTTACATGTACATGCTGCTGAGCCCTGCAGTTGTGACAGACACTTGCAAATGGCCCTGCCTGGAAAGGTGTCTCAGTGTTTGAAGGCAGATCCTGGCAGCTTCATGGATTTATGGGAAGGAGGGCCCAGAWGTAGGTGAATGGGACAGGTACCTATAAATATAATGAGCTAGTCTTGCATGCAGGCAGAATAACTACATCTAGCTTTATAAATAACAGCAGCYTTTTAGGTTTCCTAGGAGGTCTGGCAGGCTTACAAATGAATGTGCTGCTAGTTGTCTGAGACCAGACATCGGAAAGCTGTCCATGAGTGCTGTTGGCCCACTGTCTCATTTTTCCCTGCMCCCATTCCCTGTCTCTTGGTGGAGGTAGTTTTTTTGCTGTTTTTGGTTACTGCAACACAGACCCTGCCTGGCCTGCAATCTCTCAGTGTTGCCTGCTGGAGATGAATGATTCATCAGGCCCAACCTGATAAAATTGTGCAAGCCAGTCACCAAAGTTAACCAGACCAAAAGGAAAGAGAGGGGGAAARRGAAAAACAAAAACAAAAGGGGCCCCAAAGCTAGTTCTAATASTTGAACCTCCCAATGGAATTAAAAAAAGCATCTATAATGTATTCAGCCTGGGTTCTCCATTCTCCTCCAGCCTTCATTGGGAAATCCAAGAGCAGACCAGGCAATGGGTTTTAAAGTGCAACTTCCGATGTTGCAATGCAGGGGAGCAGTGATTCAACAGGGCTCCGGCTGCGGCTGTTCGGGCGCCGTGTTTGGTAATGGTGCTGTGGAGCAGGCAGCCCTGGTTGCAACCTGCTAATCACTTCCACTCGGGTTTGTTGTGTCACATCAGCCAGGATGGAGGTGAGGGGGCCAGGGAGCTGCTGACATGAATCATGTGGTGCTCTGCTGTGTAATTAGGAAGGAGTCCTGTGGTTCTCAGTGTACTGATGAGATTTCTCAGGCCTGAAACATAATAAAGACTGCCACCCACTTCAGCAGGGAATTAGTATCTTCCCAGCCGATCCTGAAAGAGGCTGAGATGCCTGCTTGTTTGGGGTCAGGGGGAACTGGGGCTTGGCTAGACAGGGCAAGGTGGGTCACTGTGATGTCACTGCCATGGTCATGAGGATGGAGGTAGGGGAGAGAACTTCAGCTGGGAGGARGGTGCCTGGGGTGCTTTGTGAGAAATCCATCACTGCCTGCTTGGTGTGGCTGCAATAGTCCTGCTCACATCCACCTTGTGACTGAACGAGACAGAGTTGCACAAGTGATTGCAATGTCTCCCGTCTGGTTGCTGTGATGCTCAGGGGGTTCCCAGGGTGCTGCTTCCATGTGTGCAGTTGAAGAATATGCTTTTGTTTCTCTCAGCTGGTTGCAGCAGTTGAGTTGGCAGGGGGATGCTGTGCAGGTCTCACCAGCTTCAAGTCCARCAGACCCCTCTGGACCACCTCTGCTGTTGGGAGCTAGTGAGAGGATCACCATTACAGTCACTTGTCTGCCACTTGGTCCAGCTGTACTTTGCATCCTTGGTGCTTTTGGCTGCAGGAATTATAGTGAGCTCTTAGTGAGCATAAGGAAATGYATTAAACCCTGAAATGTTACAGAATGTAGAGACTAATTAGTCAGGGAGAATGCTTCAAGGGATTTCACCAAATTGTCCTATAATTCTTTCTACCCTGAGTCCACATTACAGTAGAGAGGCATTCCCTTTGTTCTTTCTTATTTTAGGTTCATTTTCGTTCAGTTCACATTTGGTATATTTAACAACATTTTAGCAAAACAACATCTCCACATGATTTTGATTTAGTTACATTATTGTGATACTGTCAGGAGAAAACCATGTGCCAGACCCTGAGCTGCTGTGAATGAGCAACAATCCACTGATTTCAGCAGGGCAGCGCTGATTTATTCCACCCAAGGATCTGGCCCACCCTTGCTTAAAAGGAAAACCCATTTCCTCACCCTGGTTACTGAAACATTGCATATCAAGATGGGATGTGTCTAAACCACCTCTTTTTACTTTTCACCACTTGTGTAATTTTGTTTCTGTTTTCTACTGCTCCTCATTTTTTTGCTGGGGCAGTGAAACATTTCAGTTGGGGATAATTTCACTCTAAGCTTATAAACCTTGGCACAGCTGAGTTTTGGGAGAATGGGTTTAATGTTGCACTGAATATGAAAAATGAGATTATTTTCTGCAAATTAAGGCTTCTGGCTCTGATGTTGTAGTTCTTGTACATAACCCTCATGCTACACAAGGTGRGGAAGTGGCATGGGAGATGTTTCCTACTGTTTTCTTTATATGATTAYCAAAGAAGCCGAAGGTTGGTGTGTGCACCCTTCAAGTCAGAGATCACCTTGAGAGTTGGTCCCTCTTGAAACAAATTAGAGTTTTCCTGACTGATTCTTCTGCAAYTTCTCTGCAAGGAATACCTTTTATGGGCTCAAGGTAAGGTACTTAATTTTTGTGAAAATGCATCTGCTTTCCACAGCATGGCTGTACTTTTCTGTTAGCACTGTCAGACTGCTTTGTTTGAACACCACAAGTGGCAGCTGCATTATCCACTGCATCCTTTCCTTATGAGGGGAGACACAATGGCATGTGAGAGAGGGACCCSATCTCTGAMTTCTGATCCAARCAGCCCCGGGAGTTCTTAGGCTGGYTCAAGGCAGGGTGACCTTKTCTGTGCATCAAAGTGACCCACATGTTTGAGAGAAAGCCCATTAAAGTTGGTGGCTTCTGCCTAGATGACATTGCAACCTCAGGCACTTTGCCATGGCGGAAGAAAGAACTCCTCTTTTTTGCAGGTAAGAGGAAAAGCAATGATGTAAAATGTTATAGGCTGAATGTAGCTGCTACTCTTCATTTACTGCAGTTGTAAGAAATTGTTAACACTCCTTTGTGGAACCAGGGAGCTGAAACAATGGTGACCTCCACCCAAGCACACGTCACTGCCCAAAACAAAGGCAGGGCCCCAGCCTACATAGGTGTGGACAGGTTTCCTTGGCAAGAACCTGGCAGGAAAGGCAGGGAGGCAGCTGGGGAAAGCCTCAGGCAGAGAAGCAGTCAGTGCTTTGTGGGCTGACTGATGGTGAAAAGGGAGCGGAAACAGCAGCAAATGAACTGGGTCCGGCATGGGGAGGACAGATTTYRTACCTGCTTCCTACATGAGCAGGAYTTCTGCAAAGAATTAACTGGCACTGCTGAGAGGCAGAATCCACACATGGATTCAACCCAAGGCTCTGGTTATCCACTTGTCTGAAATAAAGTCACTAAAGAAAATGAAATGAGTTGGAAAACAGAAGGCATTGGCAGGAGAGCAGCCTGTTACCGGAATATATTTGTTGTATAGCAGTAAATGGAGGAGCCTGATTTGCCTGGCCCTGTGCAAATCCCACTAAGCTTTTACAAACCCAGAAGTGATGACTGACACAGARCAGAGGGGCAGCAGGGGGAGAGTAAAGTACTTTGAATGTCTACTTTTCATTTGACTCAGTTCCAGGGTGACACAGTCCACCCTAGATTAAAAATAACTACAGAAAGGAGTAGAGCCCATTTTTTTTTCAATTAAGCTTCAGGATATCTTTTGGGAGTACTGCAGGTTTGATTCAGCCTCGTATTTAACTTTCATGCTAGCGTGTCTTTGGAACTGTAGCATTGTGGCTGATGTAATACCGTGGTGACTGGCAGATGTGCCCTTGGCTTGCATTCCTCATTTCAACTTGGAAATGTAAGGAAGACCTAGAAGTATCTTTATTTTTAACCAGAAATGCTTTTCATCCAGATGCCAGGGACAGTAGGGCCTAGTGGATCGATGTTGATTTGGGATCCAAGAGGTGTTACTTGTGAGTTTTTGGGAGGACTGGTGAGAGCTGGGACTGATGTTTGCTGTGGCTTTCTGTCACTTCTTTCGGTTGYCTTTGCAGGTGCACCAGTAGAAACACCTCCCCACTGTCTCTTTGAATCCWTTTGAATGATTTCACCCCAAATTTTGCCTTTGTTGAAGTGGCAGTACATCATCCCCAAGYAATCTCATCAACTGAAATCAAGTGTGGTTTAAAAAGGATGCTTCAAAAGAATTGGGGGTTTGCAACGCTCATACTTTTTACTGCCAGAATTATTTGGGAATTTGCAGAGTTTCATATGTTTCCCTGTGAATTTACAGTTTTCTGTAAAACTAAATGAATTWCCCGGCTCTCTTGTGATCAGATGGGACAGGCAATGTGGCAGCCCCTCGAGGAGCCAGACATACCCAGCTGGAAGTACCCAGGACTTGCTCTGCCAACTCTCTCTAAGTGCTGTATGGGGTTGGAAATGCTGCTGTCATCTAAAGGATGTTTCACGCTGCTGAAGACCAGAAGAAGAAATTATTTCTAGGAGCTCAAGCCTGAATAATGCAACAAATCCATATATTTCTTGGTTTTTTTTTTTTTTTTTTTTTTTTTTTTTTTTTTTTTTTTTTTTTTTTTTTTTTTTTTTTTTTTCTGTTATCTCCTTGTGCTGCCTCACAGTCCTATCTCTCCTCCCACTCTTTAGGGTGGCTACAGTTGTTCCCAGTGCGTAAGTGAGGGAATGTTCCATTTCCTTGTTGTAAGGAGTGTCCACTGGCCTTACCTGCTGCTGCTTTGCCTTGCAAGGAGTGTGACTTGCACAGATCCTGTTTCTTATCGCTTGTCTTCACCCAGCAGGGAGATAGGAGTTACCACTCGTATGTAGAGATGGGGCTTTGCAGTGGAGGGCAGGGCTTTACTGCCTCTGTTTGTCCTGATGTGCAAAGCCCTCCCATCAGGTGGGATCTTCTTGTGTGAGGCATACGCAGATAGGAAGAGATTGTTTGTGATTTAGAACAATATTAAAATAGATAAGGGGAAAGCTGCAGAGAATTATTGACTGTTTGATGGCTTTTTGGTGGACTWGTGGCACACAAATCCAGCAAAGGCAGTTCAGTGTGTACAAAATAAGTTTCTCAAGAGAACAAGTGTCCAGTGCTCCTTCAGCTCAAAATACCTGGTTTAGGYACTCATTGCACTGGATGGAAGCAGCCAGGTCAGGTGACTGAGCCCATCACTGCTGCAGTGGTTTTTTGCATTGTTAGCTTTCTGTCAGTTCAGTGAACTGAGTTTTGCTCATGAAGACATCTCCAGTGCTGGATACACCAGCAGAGTACAGAGTAACTGGGATTGAGACTGGCCCTTTTGGGGGTGTTAAGTTAAACCAGTCAGTCTGGTTTACTCAATCCTGGTGCCCCTTCTTCCCTTCACTGGTGCAACCCTGTGATYTCTGGATTTCTGCCATTTGCAGGAGTCTCCCTGGTGACTGAAGAAGTGGAGACCAGGCCTTCCAGCACAATCCATGCAGCGCTGTTTGCCACTGATGAGATAGATGTTCTGGAGAAAGCACATGAACAGTGAGTAGCTCACAGCTGGAGGGAAACTCTTGAAGTTAAAGAGAAAAACAAGGAGTGTCTCCTGTGTTGGAGGGCTATTCACACAAGATGGCCCTGCAGTGGGAATTGATGAAAAGYTAATTTACAATCCTTCCCCGGTTTATTTGTCATGGATTTTTAAATTCAGTTTGTGCTCTCTCCATCCTGGGATGGAGATTGCAGCACCTCCTCAGCACAGTACCTGAAGCAGCTCTTAAATTGTTTGCCATACTCCTGTGGTTCTCACCAGAGCTGAGGTTTCACCTCTTGCTCTTCAGATTGACTGCAKGAGGTGGATTGAAATTGCAGGGTTTCCTTGCACTCATGCTTTTTTCTTTCTGATCTTTCATCACATCTCCCTCTTTTAGGCAGGCTGTTTTGTCTGATACAGCGTGAAACTTTGGAGGGGGCAGGCTTTGTTAAGTAGTTGAGCATTAGCAACTGAGAGGTAGATTATCTGGGAGCTTGTGGTGTCTGTCTCTGGAACTTTTTTGGAAGAGATTGTCCATGTGCTTCAGCAGTGCTACCAAAAGTGGGGCCTGCTTTAAGATGGGATGTGAACTGCTTGTCCTTGCGCCATTTCTTCACCTCTGCTTTGCAAACAGTGCTTGCTAAGATAATCAGCAATGACAAATGCTTATGGAATATTGCGAGTGTGTGAATAACCACCTAAGAAGTATTTGGAAAGAGCTGCTCTTAGTTTTCTGAGTCTGAGTTTCCAAACAAGAGCTCCAAATAAGTAAGCAAGAGGAAGACGTGTTCTCTTAGCTGTGAGTACCCTTTGCTGAATGGGTGTGGGCAGCAAACCCATGCAGAGGCTGTTAGTAATCCTCACAGGCTCTGATGTGGTCACACTGAACCAGAGGCTTTGTGTTATATGTGAATGCAATGACTTTACTTTCTAATATTTGGCTGGCTCGATAAACCATCTTCCTTTTTCCCCWCTCTTGTTTTCTCTCATGAAGTCACCATTTGTTCTTGTTTTCAGGGTGTTTTAGTGACTGGAGAAGAAATGTATGCTTCTCAGAAGCACACAAGCTATTTTGCTCTTCAGCAGTGTCCCTGCTCGGCTCAAGGACAGAGGACACCTGGGTGGAGAAAATCAGTCAGGAGACTAAGGAGAGGCATGGAAGAAAGCCTCTGAAGCAGGATGGAATGGCAGAAAGGCTGTGTTTTCTCAAGGGATCTGTGAAATGAGACAAACTTGCTGTCTTTTCTGCAGTAGGTAATTGCATGGTTTTTGAGCACTTTGCATGTTCTTTGTGATCCATGTGTTTATCATCTCTTGTACTTTGCTCTGAGTCTTCTGAGCTGGTCTTTCTTACTCTCTTCCACTTTCGTGCATGAAGCACAGGCCAGAGGTGCCTGCTCCCCCTTTGATATCTCAGCATGACTGACAATAGCCAGGCTTTGGAACAGAGGCAACTGCAACATGGGCTCTCCCCGCAGGTCTCCTGTCCTGCTTCCGTTGTGCCTCCGGAGGAGCCAGTCTGCTGCAGTRCCATGGCTGCAGCTCCAGCCAGCCAGAAGTCTCTGCAATTTGCCTCCTGTGACACTGACTCACAGGAGGAGGAAGGTCTCGATTCATTGTCTCATGGGAAGTGTTCTGACTCCAAGCTTCCCTTAGCATTTCCTCGCTCAGACCCCAGCTCAGATAAGTCTTTGAATGGAGTTTGTTGGGCCACTGTCTGCAGCTCACTGCCCCCCCTGCAAGCATGACAGAAAATGTCCTTGTGGCACTGATGGTTGCTTCCTGAAAACGAGTCAACAGTATCAAGTGGACTTGGTTGCTTTGATATTCCCTATTCATARTGAATACTAAAAATACTTGCTAAAAATTATTACTCTGGTGGCAGGATTTTCTTTTCTTTTTCAGTTTTTGTGAACTTTTACTTCATTAATAGGGAAATACGCTTGTGTGATAGGGAGAGGATTCTTTTCCCTCACTGCCAAAACAAATGCAACATTTTAGGAAGAGAAAAAAACTTCCCATTGCTTTCATGAGTAATTGAAACTTCAGAAAGTGTCTACCCTTTTCTACCACTGTGGAGATTTTCCAGTTAGCCACCATCTTGGAGGTGCTGGCCAGCTCTGCCTTGGCTTTGATCCCAAAGTGTCTCTGATCTGGAAAACGGTCCTGGAAACACCACTGGAATAGCCTTTCCTGTGAGATTTATGCTTCCTGCTTGGCTGACAATGCTGCCAGATTCAGTGGGACTTCCCAGTGAGGAGTGGGACATGGTGTGTCTGCTCAGTACCTCAAGTTTCAGGGTCCTCCTGAGAAGAGGAGGGACCTGTGAAGAACCACATTCAACTTAAATACTCAAAGTTTTCACTCTTGAGGGTTTTGCTAGTAGGTATATCGTTAAATCCTTCATCGGTGGAAAGCAGCCTTTAGATTTGTTAATCTTGTGAAGGAGATTTAGTGTTTGGAGTATTGGGCTGGGACCCCAGAGCACATTTTTGGGAAAACTAACAGTATGAGATTGGCTGTGGCTGGGCAGTGTTGCTTCACACCTTTATTCCTTCTCTAATCTGCTGTTGACTCATCTGTAGTACAGCTGGAGGTGCATTGATAATGTCATTCAGACATCAGGTACTCTAATGGTGTTAGAGACCACTGAGCGCCTGACTCAGACAGACAGGCAGAGGACAGTTCAGACAGGGTTTTTGTTGCTAATTTCTTCCCTTCCCAACAAAACACCTGTAGCTCCAGTTGTGCAGAACTGGGTTGGGACTCAGACAACCCATTCATTTTACATCAGTGCACCAACCATCATTTGAGTGTAATGGTTCTATGTTCTTCAAGTTTATGGTGAATCCCTAAAGCCTAAATCCCTGRTACCTTGTGTTTCTCTGTGAGTTCTCTTTGTGAGTTTGATGTGTTGCAGACCTTGATTTATGGAATCTGCCAGGCTGTGAGATATAGCCTACTGTTAGGTCACATTTACAGAGGGCTCATGCAAGACTTAAGCCCATATTATGTTTGTTCCTCTGTGATGCTTATATTTGTCTTGCACTTTGTCTGGGAATTCAGATTGTGTGTCTTGGCTGGGCTCTGTCATAGATGTTTAATCCCAGTTTCTTTGCTTTCCTGCAGGGACTTGCTAGGGAACAGGAAGTAAATGGAGTGTCTTGTAGAGATGCCTTGTAGGGAGAGCTGACTGCCAGCCAAAAACCCATCCAGCTACAAAAGCAGCTGTTTCAGCCCAAAGAATTTGTAAGCACAATTATTTTCTTAGCACCTCATCAYGCTTCTTGCAGGAACTTCAGCTGTCAGACAGGTTTTCCATCCTGCTAGGCTGGGAAACATGGGGTGCTTATTTAGATTAATTGGTGAATAGAGCTTGGTGATCCTGTGTCTGAGGATCTGGGTGCATCTGGGTGAGGGGGGAGAAAACATCTCAAAGATGGAAAGGGGAACACTTGGGCCAAATCAATAGTGGAGGTTTGAGTCACGTTTCAGCCTTTTCCCTATGCCTGCTAACTCCAAGCTCAAATTAGAGCAGGTTTGCTTTGCAGCTGGATCTGGGACATGTGTGTGCACATGCCTCAGGCACAAGGGAAAGCAGGAATTTTCCTAGGCTGTGCCTCACARTCTACCTGGAGGACTGACTATGTCCTGGCTCTGGGCTGCGGGGGTGAGTCCAGCTGTCCAAGCACCAGTCCTGTCTGGAACCTCTCATACACTAAGAAGTATTTGGAATCAAAAATTTTAGAAGTCATTTGGGAGAGAYTAATTGGCACAATGAAAGAGAGTAACCTGCTCCCTATATCTCACATGGATATCCCAGTGTCWGTATTCTCACGGAAAAAATCTTCCACATCTTGACAGCAGACATAAGTAAAATAGATTTGTTTGGTCTAACCAGGCAGCTAAGTGTAGAGGGCTGGTTCCCCTTTGCTCTTTGTTTCTTCATTGGCCCAGAGTRCGGAAATTCCTAATCTCAACACTCAGCTGTGCCCTCTCTGCCAAGACTCATCTTGCCCATGTGGCTTGTGTCAAGGCTGTGACTGTGAGAGCAAAGCCTGGCAGTTATTTTTCTAAGACTGTATCCATCCATTGCTGGTGTCCAAGGATCTGCTGTGGAGCTGTAGGGGCCTTCTGGGCAGGTTTTGGCAAGGGTTATGTGTGCTCCCCTACCCCAGGCACTCATGCCCTCATGAAGGGAATRACTGAACTACACAGAAACAAGCTCTGACACAATTTACAGCCCAGAGTGTTAAGATAATGCCAATTGGCCCTGCTTGGCTGCACCAGCTGCTTCCTCCATTGTGTCATTACTGGGCAGGGGGAACAGACTGTTCAGAGTGTTGGTGTTACAAAAATGTTTTCCCACTGTGAACAGCATCATGGTCCTGGAGATGGATGGTGGTACCACAGCTCATAGGGAGAACTGGGTTCTCCTTTTCTGCCTCTTTAGACCCATGGGATTCTAACTTACATTCTCAAAATTCTCTGTTTACAGTTTGGTCCCAGCTGGCTGTGTTGTGCCCTGCATCAGCCCCAGAGAGCCTGTGTCATGAGGCAGGAGACCTTTCAGCTGGAGAAGTCAGCCACAGTTCAAGCTTGGCCCAGATTCTGAGGTAAGGGGTAAATCTGCCATTGTTTCTCAAGCACAGCAGTAACAGCAGCAGGGTCAGGGTTGTGGATGGCAGCACAGCCATGTGGCACAGAGCTGCTGGGGGTTCTACATCCTCACCCCTGCCCATGTGTCTCCCCTTGGGGAATGGTTACAAAAGTTTCTCTGCAACTTTGATGGCACTTGCTATCTTTTAYTGGACTCCCATATACTCATAACTTTAGTTGATTATGGCAGAAATTCAACAGCAATCCTAAAAGTAGTCTACTGTTGCCAGCCTTGCTGCCTGGCTGCTTSAGGCCACTCCTTTAGAAAGCTCCAGAAACATCTGGGGGGATGATGCTTGTCCTTATTGCTCTAAGCAAGCCTTAATTACAAAGCAGATGTCGCCATTCAACTTGGTTGTCTGAATTCAGTGGCACCATTTTACATGCAGGATGCAGGATCCTTTCCTTCCTGCCCAAAACTGTTGAGTGTCATTTGCTGTGTCAGCTTAAAATGCAGGGGTGAATTTCAGTGGGTAAAGTGATGCCTGTGTGTGGATGAAAAACAGATGAAAGCATAATGTGATCCAGTAGCTAGAAATTCAACTTAGATAAATGTAAGCTAGAAAAATAAGGTACCTGGTTTAACAGTGACTAAACATCAACAGTTAAATAATTTTTGGCATCAATTACCAAATGATACAGTGATGGTTCTGTCTTTTGAAGCCTCTGAAGAAACCTTGTTACCTTAGCAAGAAGAAATTTGGGACATCAGATTAAATCTAAGAACATTCTTATGCAAGAGATCAATATGATTATTCCCGGCGCCTCCTTAATATCTAGAAATGTAAAAATTGTAATTTTCAAGGCACTCAGTACTCTTTAGTGAAAATATTGCTATTCTGCAACAATCCCTATTTCCTTTTCCTTAATGCTGCTTTCCTAACACATTGCTCTGAGCCAGTGGCAATTAAGATTACAAGGTTGAATGCCTTGCTACATCTATATATAATGTGGAGTATAATGTGGAGTGGTGGTTCATGCTCAACGTGAAACAGGGATTGGTCTTTGAAAAAGCTTCATGCTGAGGTAAAGGCTTGCTGAGCATTTCTTCTGATCGCAGTATGGCCAGAAGCTTCTCCTTCCACTGCTGCTCCTTTTGTTTGCTTATTTTGTTTTTAATAAAGTTCCCAATGTCATCATAATGCATAATGTGATTTCCTTTTGGTTACAAAGGCTTTCATCTGCAGAGCTTCCTCACTGATTTTCAGCCTTGGCTACATGACTGTGTCTCCAGACCAGTCTGGAAATGTAAGAGCTGGGGAGTCATCTGGCTCTTGCTGGAAGAGGCACCCACTGAGAGCAGTTCTACCACGTGGGAGAGAATGGTCATGGTCTGGGATTAACTCTGAGCTCAGCTGAGGTCCTGGGCCATGGACCCTCTCTGCATTCACTRCCTGGCCCTAAGATAACTGAGAGACACTCATGTTTCTCAAGGAGGTAGAACACAGTGATCTAGTAACTGGAAGGTCCAAAGCTCATTCTTGATTTGACCTGAGATTTGGGAGATAAGTAGTTTTTAATCCTTATCATCCTGGAATAGCCACAGGCTGTGAAAGGACATCAGGGCCTCCTGAAATGCCCTGTGCCACGAAAGCAACCTTACTGTGAAGGACTGTATTAAATGGTTTTCTAATCAAGACTTTGTTTGCTGAATGCTTACAAAATGTGAGATACCTTCAAATAACTCTAAATATTCATTTGTATTTTTAAAAAATTGATTTTACGTGTTTGTAACCCTATCACCTCTTTGGTGCCCAGTAAATAAAACAACCCGCAACTGTTTCCTTTGACTTGCTGAACTTAAGGGCGATGCCAAAGCTGTAATCTAATACCAAAGCATCCCAGCACTATGGACATGTTGATCCTCTTAACACCCACTGAATTCCTCTGGGCTAACTAGGGGGTTATAAAAYACATCTTAACATGCAGCTATTCAGCAGAAATATTTCCTTACCTGACATTAGCCAGGAAACCCCTCTGGCCTKCCCTGGAGCAGAGGGGTCCCTGAAGTCTGTGCACAGCCAGGGAAGTATTGGTGGCTGTATTCTGTGAACACAGCACCTTCTCCATGCAGCCATTACCCTGCCCTCCCTATGCTCCCAAATACTTTGTGCATAAGAGAAAGTCACAATTGCATGGTCAAACTTTCAAATTCCAAGGTTCTGCTTCTGAGTGCTGTTGAKTATTTTACCAAATGGTATTTGAGAAGTGCTGTAGATCTCTGAGATCAGTTAACAGATTGGAGATTAGGCAGACCTGTGACACCCTTGGAGAAGTGGAGAATGTTAGAGGTCAGAGGTTTAGGTCATAGGATGAGGAAGTTAAAGCCCCATGTCTGAGTTATGATCTTTTGTTTGGCTCTTCTGAGAAGGAGGTCTTTGTGCTTTAGAAGAGAAGTTGTTCTGCTTTCAAAGTATTCCCTTTGATTTCAAATGAAGGAAAAGTGAGTGCTAAAAAGGAATGTTTGTATGTGTTTTCTTTTTATTCTGTAAAAGCCTTGTGAAAGTACAAGTCAAATTCACTTGTGAAGAACAGGGCACTCCAAAAGTGGAAAAGCACCCTGTCCTATTCAGCTGTGGGTGACCTTCTGAGTCCAAATGTGGAAACTCCCATAAAAGAAGCAATAGAGCAATCTGGGATAGTTCAGTCTGGAAAAGGAAYGATTTGAGGGGGAATGTAACAGAGACCTACAAAATCTGGAGGTCCATGAAGCAAATGGATAGGGACTGCCTGTTCCTACATTTTCCCATGCAAGGATTGAAGGCCAACAAATGTGGGCAGATTTCAAACAAATGATGGAAGTTGGTTCTRGATGTACCAGGTAGGAGACCCAGAGAACTTCATCAAAGAGTGTTATTGGTGCAAGGTATATTCTTGTGTTCAAAGGATGACAATAGTGTTTGAAACCAAGATCTGTTAGGGATCACTGAATAAACAAAAAAAAATCTCTTCAGCTGAAAATGATTGAAGGTTAGGTAAATAATTTCTGTAAGAGGAGAGAAGTGCCAGGCATTTTTGACCTGTTCTTCCTCTTTCCTCTTTCCTAGGTATAGTTTAAGTTGGGTACAGTGATGGGCTGGGTGGAGCCAGCTGCTGTAGGAGTTCTGAGACACTTAAGAAAATATTAATTTTTTTAGTCCTGCAAAAGAAGTATCAGCGCAACCAGAGCATCCTAGATTGTCCCAAGGATGACTGATCTCCTTAGCAATTGTTTCCAGACTATTCCTAAATTATGTGCAGTCTCAGTGATTATTTCCTTAATGCCTGCCCATAATGACCATATAAGCAGTAAATGGGAAAGTCTCAGCTTGCTCAGGGAAGTATCCCCTGAGGAATGAGGACTTCTGGGGAAGAGTAAGGCACAATGGGGGCCAGAAGACATAGGGGAGGTCTAGGGAGAGRCACTACAGTGGGACTTTGGAAGCGTAATCTTTGACAAGCTGTATTTTCTTGAAAATTTCAGCTGCCTATAAATGTATAGGTAGATTGAGAAAGTTGGGCAAGAGCTGGATTGGGCTGGGGTATGAACTGGTGATGAAAAAGAAGCTCTGTTGGAAAGCTGTGGACATGTTTCTTTGTCCTATTTGTCCTATTTGCTCTTGAGCACAGCCAACCCAAAGGAGCAGTGCTAGCTGTTGGTTTTCTCAGAATGGGAATCCAGATTCTCTACTTTCCACATATTGGTATCAGCAAGTCTGACAGCTCCTCAGAGGSATTTTTGAGGACTGTTAAATGTCATGTCTACATGGAACTTGTGTTGGGGAAATGCATATTCCCAGAGCTGTTTTTCTGAAAGCAGAACTGCAGGGCTTTATCCTTTATTTTTCACTTCAAAAGGACTAAGTGCATAAATCTTGTCCCTGGCAGAACCTGCCTCTCCCTTTGCGATGACTTGAGTGCGTACACAGGGAATCAGAGAGCAGGTGACTTCAACTTAACCTTCCCTCTGAGCTTGAAGAACAAGCCAAGGCAATACAAAAGGGACCTTCTAAGAGACTTGTGCAGCTGCACAGCCCTCATATTGGCCCCATGATCTGTTTATCTTTTGCCTTCAAGGAAGTCTCAGTTAGGGGAAGCTTCCCCAAGTGGGATGTCTTTAAAAGACTATATCCTCTGCTGGGAAGTGCACATGCATCTTTCTTTATAAGCTATTTGCTGTGTTTTTCCTATCTTTCTCTCTCTTCCCCTCCTCCCCTGGCAGCAGGATCCCTGGCTGTTGTGTGCTTTTCATTAAATCTTTTTGATTGTAAGCTTGTATGTTCTGACCCAGGGTCACAGAGTACCATGGCAGGGATACAGCTCAGCAACAGAATGGAAAGCTCTTTCTGGTTTGGATTATTGGACATSTCCAGTTATTGCAGAATGCGTTCTTGTCTGGTCTCTGAAGACTGAGTTAAATGGCACCCGGAAAGGAGCATTGCAGGATGCTCCTGGAGCACTGAACTGCTCCTGAATGATGAGGGTGTCTGTGTGTGCACGCCAGTTGTGCCTTGGCCAATTTCCAGCCTCTCTAATGCTACTGTTGCTCTTATCCCACATGTTCCACTCTTRCAGTATCCTTTGGGGGAGTTCTTTAACTTCCCTCCCTGATATGAGCAACTGCCACCGTTGTGTTGTTTGGTTTAGGTTGTTTGTCTCTAATTAAAGCCCCACACTTAGGACAGCTCAAATCACCAATTGCTTACTCAGCTTTGCAGCTCTGCTATCGGAAGGCATAATCACTTCCTGCATCTTTSTTTGTCTTTGCCTTCATGCTGTTGTACTGATGGGCTGGGAGGTGCCCTGCTGCTCCTGCAGCTGCTTTTTCCTGCCCCAAGGCACATCAGCATGTGGGGAGGAAAAGCAGTTCCTGGTTATTGCTTCACCTTCTTGCAATGCCTCAGACACAGGCTGCTCTGTAATATGGAATGTCATCCCTCTTAYTTCTGAGGGAGGAGGTCAAGGGGCATTTATGCCTGTTTGAAGGCTGTGGAGTTTGTACCTAAAGTGGCAAAATCCATCTGTAAGCGGTGAGCTACCTGGTATGAACATTGGTGCTCCGATGTCATGAGATGTGTGGGCATCTCTCCTGGTCTGTGGCCATGATACTGGCCAGGGCTGTGGAAAGGAAGTGTCAGAGCCCTGAGTGTAATTGGCCTGACAAGCCTGTCAGGGCCTCAACCACTCCCTGCCCATGGGCTCAGGAGCTCCATT